AGGACTACAGGCTTTATTAGAGGAGAAGGACCTGCCGGGCTGTCTCGCAAGGGGAGGACAGCAGCACGTGCAGGGGTGGGCACGCCTTTGGAGGGGCGGAATGGGAAGGGGTGGGGGCCTAGTGTACTCGGCGCACACTGATTGGTGGCTTACCGCATTGTCCATATAGGACAAGGGCTTAGGGTATTTGGCGGTTCAATGTATGGTCCATATAAGGTGCCTGGTTAGGTACTCAGGTATTTCCAGGCTGCAGGTTACGTCATACTCCGCCCATCAGTTGGGGGAAGGGAGGATCTATCACCAACCACCCTGGCCAGCCTGGCCTCCAGCCCCGCCCTGAGGCCCCACAGCAGGATGCAAGCAGACCCCGCCCCCAACTGACCGCAGCGTTCCCCGCAGACGGGTGGGGTTCGAGACTGTCCCCGCGCAGGAGGAAGTGAGCCCGGGCTCTGGTTTCGGTCTGACAGGTGTCCGCCCCTCCCATCTCCAGCGCTTTCCTCATGGAGGGAGGTGACCGCGGTCGGTCCGCGGCAAATCCCACTGAGAGCGCAGGGCTCCCTGGCAGCGCTCCTCTCGGATGGGGAGTCACTGGACGCCGGGAAGGCTCGGCTTCACTCTCAGGCCCGGGCAGGACCGGGAGGGGCCGGGAGGGACCCGGAGGGGCCCGCACCAACTCCTGAGCGGGAAGGGAAGCGGGGGCTGTGCAGCGGCGCCTCGGGGCTGGGCCACAAGACTGACTTGGCCGTTGTTGCTGAAACCATGATTGTTTCACAATGCGCCCTGATGTAATGCATTCACAATGCTCCCTGATGTAATGTATTCACAATGCGCCCTGATGTAATGCATTCACAATGCGCCCCTGATGTAATGTATTCACAATGCGCCCTGATGTAATGTATTCACAATGCGCCCTGATGTAATGTATTCACAATGCGCCCTGATGTAATGCGTTCACAATGCGCCCTGATGTAATGTGTTCACAATGCGCCCTGATGTAGTGCATTCCCGCTGTCACATGAGTGGGGCGACTCGGAAGCAAGCGCAGCGACAGGGCCTCTGCCCGAGGGCCTCCCGCCCGTGGCGAAGAGGCGTGTCCCTTGGGAGCGCCCCGCGCAGGTGTTCACGGGGCACACACCAACCGTGTTTTGTTTTTATATTTACACATTTTATTTCATGACTTTCTGCGACTTTATTTTTGATGCTAATCCCCACACACATAGGCACACAAATACACAAACACCACTCAGCGCCCACGTTCCTTTAACGGGAGGAAGATGCTGGAATATGTGTGAGGCAGGTGTGCGGAGGCCGCGCTCTGCCTCCTGGCAGAGAGGCCTGTGCTCCCCGAGCTGCCTGCCCCGGGCCGCCCCTCCTCCTGCGGGTGGACCAGGGTTCTGTCCCAGCCCCAGGGGTGACTTTTGTTTGGTCTAAACCAGAAGTTCTCACATTTGAGCTGCGTGAGTTCCCGGAAGGCTCGGTAGGACCCCTTGGAGGCCTCACTCAGGTTTCCTGATTCGGGGGCTGAGAATTTGCCTTTCCAGTGAGTGTCCTGCTGATGCTGCTGGTCCCAGGACTACACTTTGAGAACCAATGTGCTTACCAGTGATTGACTCAGGACTGAACACGGACCCAGCTCTGGACAATGAACTCAGGAAGGCAATCTGCTGTGGGGATTCTGGGGCTAAGAAGCAGTGTTGCAGAAGACCCAAGAAAAACCAAGTGACGCTTTAAAGAAGTGGAGGGACACTGCTTTAATTACACCAGCAGACTCCGGGAATAATTTCCAAATCAGAG